GGCGGGGAGGTCGCGCCGTAGAGGTCAGCGCCTTGGCGGGGGCCAAGTCGGGCCGCGGAGGGGATCAGCCCCCGGGCATTCCCCCACACACCCCCCACACCCCCGCCCGGGATCGATCGTGCGCGGCTTACCGACAGCACCGGCTAAAAACGTCATTCCTGAAAAGAGCCTGCCTGGGGAAACGAGAGCTGCCGTGCGACGTTCTGCCCAATTCCTTTCGGGCCCACTACCTGTCCTTCGGGATTTGCTGGGTCTGATCTCTGCCGAAACGCAGCCGTCATTCCTGGGGCTGTCGCGGAGACGCTGCTGCTCTTTGCCTTGAGCAAATGAAATCTCTTTCGCGTCTTTAAGTAGCAGCCTGTTGGAGGCTAACTCATGGAGGAAGCCCCACTTCATGTATGTGCTAAAACATGGAAGAACTATCAAGAGTTAATCTCACAACTCATGACTTTAAGGTCAGAATGGATAGGTTTTGTTTAGCCTGATTCTCTGCTAGCATTACAGATGCTGAACTTGAGCATAACCTGCCAGGCCCATGATTTCTGGCAAGACAGACCGTTCCCTTTCCAGGGCTACTCTGGAGCGTGAATCCTGACTCAGTATGCAGGAACTGTATCACGAGGGCACTTACGCTAGTCAACTTCACGTTTTCATTTAATTGCTCCAGCTGCTGCCTCAAACATGTGGCTTGCTATGATAAACGTTGCTTGCCTGCTGCAATGACCTTGTACATCTCACGCTGGGTTACAAGTAAAGATCAATTCTAGCTTAAATTACTCCTCCCACAGCATTCATTAGAACATACATGGGAATTGTATTGTTTCTAGTTGTTAGCACCAACGCAGTTTGTCACTTTTGCCATACAGCTCTATTTAAGCATACATGCCAGTAAAGATCAAAGAGAACAAATACAAGTTGGACAGGGGAGGAATACAAATTGTCAAGTACGTTCCTATCTAGCCTGATAGCTGCAGACAGACTAGATACATGAGTATGGTAGAATTGAAGCAGTGCGAGTCTGTTTACACTTAGAAGTCTTCTGACTCTTAAGTCGCAGAGGCATGAAAAATCCTAGAGAGGAGGGTAAGATTGGGAGGCTGTGATTTTTCTGCAGTTAAGTATCAATACTGATACAATTGGGGATTTTGTCCATGGTGCTCAGCTAGGCAAGAGGTAAAGCTGAGGTAATCATCCCAGTTTTGCAGCTTAATGACAGTTTGTAATATTCAGATGTTAGAAAGCGTAATTCTTTGACTATGCTGTGTAGACTTGTTGCTATGGTGAATTTTGTCTTTAATGTGCATTTCGATTATGCTTTTTAAAAACTGTCAGGCACAGAGAAGGCAACAGTACAAAACCTATAGATGTAAAAGGTGGAAGAACAAAATTCACCACAGTTTGAATGGAAGTGACACTAATGCAAAGTAGTTTTGGAAACGTTACCTAAAATGTGTAAAGATACTTGCCACCCAACTGTAATGACAGTGTTTGATTTTTCACTTTGCTTTCCATGGATCTTGATCCTTAGCGTATCATCTATTTAATGAGAGTTACTGCAACCTTATTTCAAATGTGTAGTATGTGAGGGCTCAGGTTATTGTGCGGTAACTTTCCCTCACCCCCAGGCAAGACAGTAGAGTACAGCGCATAGCAAAGCGGGGCTGTCCTGGGTTTACCTTGTGCTAAGAATACGCACATGAGGTGTCAGTGCACAGAATGTTAGAGAGCAACTTGGCAAAGTGTTACTCTCTTGTTTCATTTGGATTTTTATACGAGTTTGAGATAGGAAATTTAAAGCAATATGATTTTAAAATACAGGTTTGCTGCAATATTGTTAATTTTTTAAAATCCCACTTGTGTAGTAAAATAGCTTCTTTTTGTTTTATATTCCTGCAGGTTTCTCGATTGCTAGGTGCTTTCAAAAACCAAAAACAGGTGACCAGAAGTTTTGGTAGTGCTGTGAGTATAATAGTACCTTCTTTTTCTTTTAAGAAGTTTCTCAAGAAAGGGGTTCAGAAATTTACTTTAGTAAGATTGCTGTTGTTATTACAGTCTCAAAAAATAAGGCCTAAATAAGTGAACATATACACTCTTAATGCCATGCTGGATTTCTATTGGTTAATTACTGTCTTTGGCAATTGCATATTAAAGTGTGATAACACAAAAGGCTCTAGCAAAAGATAGAGATGGCATGAAAACTTTTCACAAAATAAGCCAGTCTTCTGAAACTCATCTGGAAATGGGCAAATATTGGGCACAGTAGAAAGTTTGTTGAGAAGCTTCTCATTTTCTTTATTTTGCAGACTTTCCTCCAAGTGCTAGATTTACTTTACTGCTGCTTTTAGAATACCTTGCATCTAAAGTTCTGCCTTTTCAAGGCCCTCTTTAAAGTATTTTAGACACTGATTGTGTATTTCCTTGTAGATGTTTTACCTTCTTTATGTGTATGTGTTTGAAGTGCCCACGGGCCTTTTTTTTCAGTGAAGGCAGCCTTGAAAACTGCTCGGGCAGAAGCAGGGCTCAGCACTACTGCATGCACCCTTAAGCAGGTCTTAATTTTAAAGAGGAACTGTGGCTTTTAATTACAAGTTTTGTAGAACAGCAGGTAGAAGAGCTAGAAAGGAAACTGAAGGGTCGCTCACATTTTATATGGTATACAAAGATTTAGAAGGTGAGGCACCTCTGGTTCTGTTTATACCACATTATTGTTGCAGATGGAATGTTCTCTGGCTCAGGTGGAGTCCTGCTGTGCTGTGATGCAACAACGCAAGACAGCACAAAACTAATCTTGAGGCATTCCACCAGTTATGCGCTTGCTCAACAGCAGTGTTCTTTTATCTGAAGCTCTGCTTCTTTTGACGTGCACAGTGATTTTCTTTGGCTCAAATTAGTTAAAGGTTCAGTCAATATGTACTGAAATCCTCAATATTTTGTGTGGAGAAGGATGAAACATACCTTGTGAGTTGATTTTAATTGGGGGTTTTGCAAATAATGCTGTATCTGAGCTGCCTTTTTGTAGGTAATAATGAGCTCTTACAAAACTGTTGGAAATCTTTAAATAAAACAAAAAGAGCTGGGGCACATACACTTAGAATAGTGATCATATTTTTTTTTTTATCAAAGCAGAGTACTTTCTTCCTGTTATTCAGTGAGCATGGGCTGTGCAATTTATTTCATCTGTTTGATGATAAAAGAAACAGGACTGAGAACATTATGGAGGAAAATAACTTGGTATTGTTAAAAATGGGTCTGAGATTTTTACGAAGTCACTTGAGAAGTTTAGATATGCATGACTTTTTTTTTTAAGGTGAATGTAGCTTTTCATAAATTTATGCTTTTCTAGCATGTGTCAGTATTATGCAGCATGTTGATAATATTGGAGACACATGGGTAGCAGAGCCATAACTAGGTAATATTATGTCCTCTCCAAATTTCAAGAAGAAAGCAGGCTGAGATCATTCATTTCAAGGAGTGCTGAGCAGGAACCTGCCTTTCAGGTTAAATCTCTGTGTTTTGAAATAGGAATAGATAGTAGGCAGATTTTTAAACAATTCTCTCAAAACTTTTGCACGCTCCCTTTGAAAGCAAGCTGGTCATTCTCACTCTGTCCAGTACTGCTATTCTTCACAGTGAATATTTGGTAACTGAAACTTTCTTTTCTTTTCTAGTAGTTACTTGGTTCCTACAACACATGAAAATGTTTTCTATGTAGAAGACAAGCATTCATTTGTTGTACTACTGATACTTCTTTACCTAGGTACAAACAGTAACTTTAATCCCAGGAGATGGCATAGGACCCGAGATTTCTGCTGCTGTCATGAAGATCTTTGATGCTGCCAAAGTAAGTTGTATTTGTCTTGCTGTAAGCGTTGTAAGTTTAACTACAACAACAAGTAGGCATATTTAAAATGTTTTCTCTAACTTCCAAAAGATCAAGTCATGTTTAAGCTATTAAAACTTCTTGACAATAGGAGTCTGAAGATTCAGCTAATAAAAGATAGGATTGTGATATCAAGGCAGGGCTTGAAACTGTTAGCTGGCAGAAGAGTAGAGAGTTGAGAGCAAACGCGGTGTTTAATTTTTGGAAATATCAACTCAATATATCATATGAAATCATCTTGTTGATGTAGCAATCCTGAGCAACTCATAGAAGATGTTCTTTCATTCATTGTGACTTTCAGCGCAAATGAAAGTGTCTGTGAAAGGACTGGCTTATTCTTAGAAACCAAACTGCTGCACTGCCAAACCCATTCGTTCACTAAGTATATCCAAGAACTGTTTTACTACCTATCTGAGGAACTTCACCAGAATTTGTTGAGTTTCCTTGAAAGGAAATACAGCTCTTCAAGATAGATGCCTGTTAAATCATTCCACATTAGTAACAGTACCAAGGCATACTCCCTTTCTACTACAACTATCTGACTTAGATTTGGAAAAACTGAAGTTCTCTTTAGTTATGTATGAAAACCTTACAATAGTTTTGGTTGTTTCTGGGGAGTCAAGCAGGATGCGTGGAGGAATAAAACCTAAGTTTGTGTGTGAGTGCATGTTTGCAATACTTAATCAGATTTGTTTGTTTTAAAGGGGATTATCTAGTACGTTATGCTTAGATTGGTTCTGTTTGCTTATGAAAGCCCTTGTACCTTTTCCTTTATGGTCCTTCCTGATGAAATGAATGGGTGGCAGCCTGTCTCCGCTTAGAAGATTCCTGTGGTGAATGCAAATTCAGAAAGCATTGCAGAACATTTGCAGATTTTCAGTTAGATAACATATATATGTATCTCTCTGTTATATACTGTCTTCCAGGCAGTATGGATGATGAGTTCTCAGTGAATTCAGTTTTCAAATGTCTTGTCTCTTGTATACAAGAAACTCAACAGCTTTAGGAGCTTGAAAGAAATAGCATGTATCTTGCAATTCTAATGATTTCTGTGTATATGACACCTAGGGAGACATTGAGTATTCAAGTTTATGATGATACGTTGCTCATAAAATTTCATTTTCACTTACTTAATTACATTTTTTTTAAATTGTTTCTTTTTGAGTTCAAACATCTCATGCTTACTCTCGCTCACCAGAGAGAAATAGTTTAGGAAGGCCTGCACAAAATTCCTCATGCACCTTTTTGTGAAATGGAAGTTAAAACTTTAAGCAAAAGTCATGATATGTAAGTTAACATAGAGTAAATGTGTTTAGGCTCCTATTCAGTGGGAAGAGAGGAATGTTACAGCTATCCAAGGACCAGGAGGGAAGTGGATGATACCTCCAGATGCCAAAGAATCCATGGATAAAAACAAAATGGGATTAAAAGGTACTTTAGGGGTTAATACAAAGATACTAAATACTGTTGTTTTTATTGTGAGTCTGATTTAAAGTCGAAGTCCTTCATCTGTAGCACAATAAAATGGCTAATTATAGGGGACAGCCTATCAGGTAGTCTTCTGTAATCTTAAAACAGTCCTTAATTTCAAAGCCATAACTCTCATAGATCTTCTAGGAAGTACATTAAAGGCGGGTATTACTACATAACAACCTTTGGACTCTATGCAGAATGCATTTCTAATGCGATTGATACAACTATATTCCTAATGAATAGTATCTTTTTATGTTGTTTTCAGTGAAGACCTTTTGTAAAAACTCCTATTCCATGTAAGGGTTGCAATTTGGCCTTTAAACAGCTGATTAATATCACTGTGTAGTACTGTACAGCACAGAGAATTCCTGTGGCATTTCAGCAAAAGGGTTAAATAGGAATTTGGAGATCCTCTGAAAGAGTACCACTTTACCTAGAATTTCAACTCTAAAATTCATGGAGGGGTTTATCTTCTCATTAATTTTTTTTTTTTTTTTTTTCCTTCAGGGCCTTTAAAGACCCCAATTGCTGCAGGGCATCCATCAATGAATCTGCTTCTGCGTAAAACCTTTGACCTTTATGCAAATGTACGTCCCTGTGTCTCAATTGAAGGGTATAAAACCCCATATACAGATGTGAATATTGTCACAATTCGAGAGAACACAGAAGGCGAATACAGTGGAATTGAGCATGTGGTATGTTGCTGGAAGTGTTGTGTTTCTGGCGGGTTTTCTGCGTTTCATGAATGATAATTTTGCCCATCTTAGGCCTAGTACTAAGAGGTTGGGTGGTGTTTTTTAAGTTTGCTACCTATAAAAAAGTTATTTTATTGTGAAATGCGTTGTTGAGACTGACTGCCTCACTCAGAATTCTACTATTTTGTTCCAAACATTCATACTAGTGACTTGAAAAATGAGCTTACGTTTTTACTATCAATGCAACTACTGTCTTTCAGATTGTTGAAGGTGTTGTGCAAAGCATCAAGCTAATCACAGAAGAAGCTAGCAAGCGTATTGCAGAATTTGCTTTTGAGTATGCCAGAAATAATCAGAGAAGCCATGTTACTGCTGTGCACAAGGCAAATATTATGTATGTTGACACTTCTTTTTGAGAAGAACAAGAAATAGTAATATGCATTTAATTATAAATAACTTTTTAAATTTTCCTCAAATGTATAACGTCTGTTGATGCTACTGGGAGTAAGTAAAAAGGGAAATAAGTAAAGTAAATGCCTCCTAAGTAAAATAGGCAATACTTACCCAGTACTGATAGGGCTGTAATAATTATGTACTAATGTTTTTATTAGTAAGTCTGTAGTAATCCTATGACTTTCCTTGCAAAGCTCTTATTTTAAAAATAGTCTTAAATTAGAAAAATGAATTTAAAAACTGAGGATGAAAATGGCTAGTGTCTTTAACAGTTTCCAAGCCACTTTGTGCTGAACTGAGTCATAACATGTGTGATACTATGTGACACCACCTTTACAAACTCAGTAAGCCTTTAGTAAATGAATATGAGTCATTCTGAGAATTAAAGTATGCCTGTTAAACTACTGATACAAAAATTCTAAGAGGAATTTTAAAAGGCATAACTTCTCTGATAATATATATTTAAAATATTATTTATATTTAACATAAGGGATAATGAGTCACAAATTAAGTTTCTGCACTCTAATATTTTTGTTTAATACTCTGTTGCATGCATTTTTCTTTATCTTCAGTATTGTTTACTTAAAATAACTGCAATATTCTCTTGTTTATTTAATTGCAGGAGAATGTCTGATGGGCTTTTCTTGAGAAAATGCAGGGAGGCAGCAGAAAACTGTAAAGATATTAAATTTAATGAAATGTATCTGGATACTGTTTGTCTGAATGTGAGTATTTATATGTTTTAATTGTGGATATTTTTTCATTTAAATTCTTAACCTTAATGAAAATACACTTCTTTCTAGATGGTTCAAGATCCATCACAATTTGATGTGCTTGTTATGCCAAACTTGTATGGTGACATCCTCAGGTATGGAGATTTTATTTAAACTAACCCAATGTGTAAAATATTGTTACTTTCCAGACAGTTATTCAGGTTATATGCTAGCCAGATGGTGATGATTTTATGCATCCAGAGTTTAAAACTTTATAAATCAGACTTTAAATGGGAAAAAAGGATGGTATTATTACACTTCAATTATTAATATATTTTTGAGAGGGGCTATATGATAGCTTATGGAGGCTATGAATATTGTTCAGATGGGGCAGAAGAGAAATTTTTCCAAATGCGTGAAGAATTGAATGGCTTAAATTGCAATAAAGAATGCTTAGTTAGATGTTGGGGAAAAAACTTTCTAATCTTAAGCACTAAAATAGATGTAAAATAGATTGTATAAAATGACTGTAGGACCATGATGTTTACAGCAAGCTAGCCACACAGTTAAATATTCTGCATAGTCACTGAAGAATGAAATGTATGGCCTCTTAATGTCATACCAGCTCTTGTTTTATGTATTGTATTTTTCCCTTACCTTCAAATTAAATTTCGTATTTTAATAACATTAATACTAGAGGTACTTGATGTCCTGAAGGCAAAATCCATCAGCACACATTTTCCATTCTGTAAAATGTTTAGGTAGAGTGTAAATTCAATTAAATACTGCATGTAAAATTAAGCATCTTAACCTGAACTTTTAAGTGTATAACATAACATTGCTTCTCTTTGCATCTCTAAGGGGAGATTGAGAAAATAGCTTGAATCAGAATTTGTTTAAAAGTTCAACAATGATTTACATCTTAGAATCCATCTCCTGTTTTTGTACAGATAATAAATGTAAAGGTAACTTACATATAAGAAGAAATGCTTGTTGAGCTTCTCTTAAAACTACACTTTCTCTATGATAAGGCTGTTTGTCACCTTTAAGAAAAACCAGACTCCAATTAATTCTTCTTTCCTTAAGAATTGGTAGAGGAGTCCATAGGGCCCTCACAGCAGCTGTTATGCTGTTAACTAAAAGAGATCAAATCAGATGAGTCTCATGATCAGTACTATTTTAACTCACTTCACCTAGTTCTGTATCACCCATTTTAAAGTTCTCATAGAAATTCCATAAAGAATTTCATACTTCTAAAAAATTTTCAATAAATTTGAGTCTGTTCTTGAAGAAGGGCACTCTGTCACTGGGGAAGGTCTCACCTGCAGTGCTTTTTTAAAGCATGAACATAATGCCAAACAGGCTTCTTGGACTGAATAGGTACAGAAGGAGATCTCTTACCTTGAAGCATTAAATACCTACAGCAACAAATGTAGACTGTATCCATTTTTTTCCCCAGACTCTATACAACTAAAGCCAATTGGTTTATTTTAGCTTAAACTTAAAATATTGTTCTGCAAGGTCATCCAAACTTTTCTGCTTATTAGTCCTTGGTTAGCTAAGTTGTAGGCAATAAAACAGTATGCTAAAATATCAAGAGTTTTAAGAGCCTTGTTTATCAGTATGTTCAGCTTTGAGGGTACAGTATAATGACTATAGGCACAGTTGGTTTGTCCTTCCCCATGTTAATTTTGGAGGAAAGCAAATGCAGATTGGTTATGTCTGATGATCTGCTCATGTCAGACTTGTGACTTATTGGCTGTTCAGTAAACAGAGGGGGAGAGCTAGTCTGGTGTCACTCAGAACATGTTCTTTAAGCTACATGCAATAAACTTTAAAACTACTATTCATTCACCTACCCAAGCAAAATTCTTCTAAGTTTTCTAGAAGGACTTTACATATGAAAAGTAGTTCTGTGGCCTCTTCAGAGGAAATAAGACTTCTGGATTGTTACAGGGAACTGTACATTACAATTTTTGCTAGTTTTTGAGACTACTTCTGTGCTTTGAGTACCTTTTGCTGTGCCTGTGTGTTAATCAGCTTTATTCTAGTATTTGAAATTTCCTTTTAATTTTCCTTTATTAAATTGTCTCCTGCTAGTAGTCCTACAAATTTTCAAATGTTCAATGGAGTACAAGTGGCTAACAGCATCTATTCTTTCCCAATATTATTCACAGACTGTGTGGGTATATAAGCTAAGTTATTGCTGCAATAAAATGAGAAACAAAAAATATTTTAATACCTTGCAGAGAGGCAACTGTATATGGAAAAACTTGTGGGTTTTTCTGTTTCTTGGGTTTGGGTTTTTTTTCAGTGACTTGTGTGCTGGACTGATTGGGGGTCTTGGAGTAACACCAAGTGGAAATATTGGTGCTAATGGAGTTGCAATTTTTGAATCGGTAAGTCTTCTTATGCAACGTATAGTAGTAATAACTACTTTGTCTCAACCTGAGAATCTAAAATTTTTCCATGATGTGCAATGTGGCTGTCATTTAACTAAGTTCTCTGTAAAACTGTTTTTTACTGTGAAGACGCTGAAGCATTACCCAGAGAGAGTATTTATAAAGTATGTATTACACAGAATTTTTTGCATGTCCTTTTACTGACACTTTGTTTTCCCTCTTTTTCATAAGATAAATACCCTCTGTGAAATAGAACTTGAGGGGCACAATTAGGAGATATTAGGTGATCTAGTTTCCCCTTTCTGATGCCTTTGAACTGAATTGTTCTGGTCTTTCCTATCTCCTTTCCACTAACTGTATCACAGTGAAGTCAGTCCTATTTTAACATGCTTGTGCTCAAGGACTATGTGTCAGGTTGCTTGCATACACTTGAATTGCCTAGGACATTTTAATCAGCATACTGACATCGTAACAGATAGGTTCACTTTTATTTCTAGGTTCATGGCACGGCACCAGACATTGCAGGAAAAGATTTGGCAAATCCAACTGCCCTTCTTCTGAGTGCTGTAATGATGTTGCGTCACATGGGACTACACAAACATGCCACAAAAATTGAGACAGCTTGCTTTGATACAATTAAAGATGGAAAGGTAATATGAGGGTGTGCAAATAAATGCAGTGAATTAAAATCATACTGTATCACAGCAAAAATTAACGTAGAACATTAACACCAGAACAGTGGATGACCTGCTGTGCTAGTGTGACACATGAGCAGTGCCGCTATCCTTCTCTGATAGTAATTACATTATCTTTGGTGGTATTAAATCTGCCTAGCTGAGTAATAAGGACAGGCTGTAGCATTCCTTGTGTCTCAGTAATGCTCATCTTGCATTTCCACAGCTTTGTTAACTCTAAAAGCTAGAGCTGGATGGCTGTTTTTCAAGGGGATTAGAGTTTTAAGTAACTAGTGATATTTCACTTGTGAAGTTTATAATGCATACAAAGCATATATATTTAAGTCTGGATCCTGAAGTGAAGGACACTCATTTGCCTTTCATAGGCTTAATCATGCACTTTATTTATAGCATTTCAGTCCTGACTGTAATACTTTTGCTCCTATTTTTTCAGGTCAATTATTTTCCTTTTTCCTCCTAACTGCTTTCACTCCTTTCTGGACTACAAAAGAACAGTTTTTATCCAGTATTTACTTTTTCCCTTAAGATTGTATGTGATTTCCCTTTGGGAGTAAATGTCTCCAGATGCAAGACTCAAATGGGATATTATGGGATATTCGGGGGGGGGGGCTTATGCGCTGAAACCTGACTTGAATTTGTGCTCTTAACATTATTGGTTCACTCATCTACTTTGACATCCACCTTTTCAAAACATAGCTGGAAAGATCCTGAAGATTGCAGTTAAAGAGGATTAGCAGTTAGCCATGGTGGTTCAACTATCTCAGGCAGGAGCATAAGAAGCTGCTTTGTAATTAAAAGTAACAAGCATGCTTAAACAAAAAGCTGTCATAATTTCATAAGTGGTCTATTTGCAGCTATCTTACTGTGTGTAGAAGCCAGTTAAAAAAAAAATATCTAAACTTACAAGTGAATAAAGAGGTGCTCCTGTAAAGTTCCCATTTACTGCTCTGGAAATGAAATCCTCCATCTGCAGGTCAGTAATTCTATGGAAGATAACATAGTGCAAGTTTTGTGACATGGCTACTTGTTTACTAGTTACTTACAATGTTATGATTATATGCTCACAATGGAGAGAATCTTTTTAAATTGAAAAAAGCATAATGCAGTTAAAATGACAAGATCCTAAAATAGTAACCTTGATTGCCTCTCATGCTTGCTATTTCTCCCTTTCCTCCCTTCCCCCCAGCCATTTAATTAAGATCTGTGTGTGTGTGTCATGTAAGGGGAAAACTAATGATTTTAAATTATCTCCTAGACTGCTTTAATCTAGCTAGGTTGGACAAGCAATGTTGCCCACTTTTTTTTTTTTTTTTCAATTTTTCTATCTTAATGCTGCCAGACAGGAGTTGTACTTGTTGAAAAAGTTTCTTTTAACTCTGCATTTTTCGATCTCTTAACTAAACTAAGCAAACTTAAAGAACTTTTAACATGGCAGCATTAAGAGCTATGTGTGCTTTTTCTGTGTGGGTTTCCTTTTAAAACAAAACAAAACAAAACAAACAACAAGACCCAAAAACCTTACTGAATTACTCTCAATTTGTTGCCTTTGTGCTGAGCCTTCATATATGAATTTTACTTCAAAAGGACAAACTTCTTACTGAAAATCTAAATACTTAACAATCAATTATACTGTTATGTGGCCAGGGGACTTCGGAGAGGTTTGTCCAAAGTCTTCTCTACTTGCTTCAATCTGCAGAGTCCTTACTGATGACTATAAGAAACTTCATGTATGCCTTCTGACCCTTATTTAGTATCCATACACAACATATAAGGTGAACATATAGAACTGTTCAGAGACAAGACTAGCTCTGTAAAACATTTTAGTAATACTGTTTTTTCTTTCTTTCAGGTCTTGACAAAAGACTTGGGAGGTAGCGCCAAGTGTTCGGAATTCACAGAGGAGATCTGCCGCAGAGTACAGGACACAGACTAAGCTTTTCTCATTCTATTAACTCCAGAAGGACACATCACACAAAGTACATTATATATAACCTGATATCCATATGCATATAGTTTGCCTGTCTCTTAAGAGAGCAAACTTTTTAGTTAGGGCTTCTTCATTAATAAATTTAGTCCAAATGGCTACAAATGATGCTTGTGCCTGCTTTCAGTGGACTTTTCTAAGTGCTTTCTGTTTTTTATTTATTTTTTTTCTATCTGGTGAACATTTTTATGTAAGTGAATTCTTTTATCGCCACTGTAACTGTCTACCATTTTTCATTTCAACTAGAGGTTTTTACTTACCACAAAGAAAAATTACGCAAATAAACCAGTAACAGAATTAGTGAAATGTAAAAGCACCTTAATGGTTAAAACCTAGTTTACTGATCTTACTGAGATTTAAGATAGGTTTTCAGCCTAACAATAGCACAAGATGACCTTCATGAACAGAAACGGGTATAAAATAACGTAAAATAGCAATTTCATGTTAAAGCAATGAAAAAAACAGTTTAGATACTCTGGTGATTCATTAAATATAGCCTTGCCCTCCAAGGGCATGAATAAAGAAATACAATATTCTAGAGATTTAATCAAGTTGTGTATTTTTAAAAAAGCCCACAACCATTAACCAGAAAGGGTTGAGATTTAATGTTGAAGTAAAATTATTTTTCAAATCTATATACCAAAATAATTCTTACAAGCTTTCCTCTCTGACACATAACTTTACAACAGAGTTCTAATGAGAGTAAATTATACAAAATTACTTCTGCCCTATATTGTGAGGGGAAAGTACTAACTTTGCAAATTTATACTAAATATTTCATGACTTCTGCTAGAATGCATTTTGTGTTGTAGTTTTATGCGTAGTCTGTTCAGTGTGTCTTACTGTATTGACTATTAATTTTATTCTAGAAATTCTGAATGTAAGGGACTAGTCCTAAATGGATTAAGACAGATCGAAGGTTTGGTTCTGGTGCTTATGTTCCAGAAACACATTTCATCCCTATTCAAGGGGATCCAAGACTATTTTTTCCCTGCTTACAAAGCTTAATGGGCACAAAAGCAACTCTTTTCCCTCCCTTCTTCATCACATACAGATCATCATATGAGTCATTGTGATCTGTATGCCTTAAGGTATGCTTCCATTAGTACACCCTACAATAAAATGTATATTTTAAAACTCAACTATAGCACAGGATTATCCCTACTGCCAGAAACAGGCTTCTTAAAGCTTAATTCTATTAATAGATATTATTCTACTTATCTGCTTTCTATTAAGACTGTTTAGGCAGGTTGTTTCAGAAGTAAAATCAATTTTGAGTAACAACTTCTAGTGTCACTCTATAAAGTAAGCATCCCAGCTTTTTTTATACAGTCTAACAACATGTTGGAGGAAGGACAATGAGCTTTATTCCTCGTGCACTCTGCTTTTGGTGAATAGGGCAACATTTCTTTCTGTGTTTTACAAGCTGCTGCTTCCTTGTTTCCTTTAGATCAATATTGTTAAAGAACTTCTGAATTACCATTGCGCACAAAATGGGGAAAAATAAACTTTTCAAAGTCCTGTTGCTTGTTTTGTTTTTATAATCCTAGGCTGCCATCTCGTCTTTCGTGTTGAGCTGATTATTGGTACTTGCAACAAATCTTAAGTCTGTAAGATGTGTTAAGACTGGTAATAGAGCTTTCCCAGAAATAATATCCTATTCTGCCTGATTTTTTTTTTTTGGTCAAGAACAGTGGCTGTAGCTTGCCTGCTTGTGTTAGCTATTTTAACTCTACCAAAGATCACTTAGTAACAGCAAACCTTCAGACAACTTTGTCAAGTATGTCTGCCACATAATAGGATTTACTTTTTATATGGGGAAGAAGAAATGCAGCTCATATTTGTCAGAATTAGTATAATGTGAACATTTAAACATGTAGATACACACTGATAAACATTGCTTCTAAACTCTTGCTTAAAAAAAAAAAAAAAGTGCTGTAAACCATTTAAAAGAAGTTTCTGTTTTAAATAGCGCTTTAATGTGAGAGCACCTGTATTTGCTACTTTATGTCTTTCAGTCTTAGGGAGCTATTCCCCCAACCTTTTTGATTGTTTTTAGGAGAAACAGTAATGCTTATTTCAACATGGATTTAAGAAATGATGAGCTGCTGTTTTCACAGGAGTCTGAATACTAGCCCCAAAGAGTGTCTATAGGTTCTGAAATGTTGTGTTAGTGAACAAAAAGAAACTCTGCTCTGCGAGGGAAAAAAACAGCCCTTTTGATTTTTTTTTTTTTTTAATAATTATCTTTATCACTGGAGTGGTATTACAGTTTCACTAAGCAGTACTGCCAACTACTGATCTACCAAAATATATCATGAGCTACCAGCAACGTCGGGGGGGGGAAGAAAAATCACTGTATAAAACATTTTTATGTTTCAGTCTAGAGGAATTAATTAGTTATACCTGCTTTATACCACACAAGATGATGTTTTTAATCTTAATCATTTAGGTCATAAAGTAGAAACAGTATTAGAAAATGGACACACTGTGTAGATGCTTCTGTAAAAAGAGGACGAGCAATCAGGTGAGTATCAGGAACAACTAAATTGACACAACAATTTCCTAGTGGTTCAGTTCAATAGACTACAAAATCAAAACAAGCATAAATCTTCACTAATGCTTTTGATTAGGAAATACTTTCTTCAGCTCACAGATCTTTTTTAATGCTTGGATGAAAGACTTCTTATTCTTCATAGAAGGAGTCTACTTCATTTCTGTATTTCTCAAGCACGGTATGCCGTTTTAACTTCATTGTTGGACCTTAAAAGAGGGAGTTAGTCACAATAGCAGAAACATAACAAAAATTCATACTCAGTTTGAGGTTGGTTCCTAAGATTTTCTATTTTAAGAGCCTGTTTGGAAGAACATCTCCCACTCTGTAAGTGCAGATGATACCTACTAAAAGTGAGAAGCAAGCGTGGTATGTAAGGTTGCCTCCACATAAGCATGAGGGCTTCAAAGGGAGCTGCAGATAAGAGGGTGATGACTGACTACTACTTTTTTAATTAAAAATAATTTAAAGGATAATGTTTTTGAAAGCTTTTAAACAATTCCCAGTTTATTCAAAGAGCCTGGTAATCTGCTTGGACTGCTAACAGTCAGGCTTTCACTGTCTTGCTTCTCTCTTTAACAAGAAATTTTCAGTATTATTACTGGAAGTTATTAGTACTGTAATGCACAAGGAATTAACCAGAATTGATTGTTTAATTGCCTAAAGCAATCTGAAATTTAACTATAGAGCTCTACTTGTAAATGAGCATAGATTGGTACATATGTACACAGCAAAAACTCAAAATTTTTTGTGTTCTTTACGACATACTGCATAATGCTTTTTCCTTTCTCTCTAGTGGCTGTATCCAGAATTTGGCATACAAAACTGTATTTGAATACTCTTAGATCAGCAGCCTCTTTACTGTGTGTATACCTCAATATAAATCAGTAAATCTTACCTAGTTCTCCCCCAGAAATTGAAAAATCTCTTGGCAGGACTATCCATTTTTTAATACAATGAACCCTATTAGCAGCCTTCATGTTGACTTTGTTGATTCCCTCCTGAATGGCCTGGTAGATTGCATGGTCTCTTGTAGCTACGATCTCTGATACTTTTGTGGCTTTACTACCAGTCTTCTGGCAGAAGTCTCTAGCTTGCTCAGTGAGAATGTCAGTGGGATCAGATGTATCCGGGTCCAGCACACTCTAAAATAACAAATGAAGTGAATCATCAAATGCTCACTCTTGCAAGGCATTAAATGTTTCTCTGATCAGGTCCCTGCTGACTAGTAGGAATCAAGAAGGCTCAGCATCAACACCCATTCTGTAAGCCTTAAAAACCAGAAATGCCTACAGATGATAGTGCTTTTCTTTCCACTTGGCTACCAAATGCGAGTATTTTGGGCTTATATGCAGATGACATGAACAGACTTAAAACGTGTCAATTGGGCAATAAAGTCCATCTATAGACCTTGAATTTCTACCATATTTTCCAAATTACTCCATTGTTACAGGGGAACATTTAGCTCATCATTAAATTGAGTTACTGCAGTGTAATGTAAACAGCTTGAGATAGAAGCATTTTTTCAAGTTAGACTTCTTAAATTAGTCTTTCTATTGTACCTGTAGGTAGGGAGTATCAGTCATAGAGGTAAATAACCTCAGGTAAAACTAAAGGGTCATTCACTATATATGTACACAGAACATAAAGTGCAAATGTTTTAGAAAAAAATGATTTCTCAATTGAAGCATATACCACAGCAAAACTATTAATTATTTTGTTCTACAGTCACCCTTATTGTGTTATGTGAAAAGAACAAATTGTAAAGAAATGTTTCTGTTGGAAAGTTTCTGTTAGAAAAGTTTTTTTGCCCATAACAGAAACATTTGTTGGCTTTGCTCGTCTGTAAGAATAAAAGCTATTACTGTGCTCCATTACAGAGACTTCTCACTCTTTCAACATTTCTTAATTAAAAATTTGCATTTAAATAAAAAAAAATAGGCCTTATTGTACGTATAGGAGAGACAGCAGTAAACACGTAGATGTTTAGCAGATCACCTAACCATAAGAAGTTTAGACCATCAGGAATTGGTCTGTAGTTGCTATACATTTTTTTTCCACTAACATCCTCCTATCTAATTTTGGGTCTTTACAAATAGTTCAAAATTCATCTTTTGTTAGGTGTAGGTATATAGTTTCACTGAAATCAACAGTAAAACTGGCTTACCTTTAGGGTCAGCAACATAGACAAAAACTTCCTTTTATCTCCAATCACTATAGCATTACTAACAATTGGGAGTTCTTTTTTAACAGCATCTTCAATTGGAATTGGAGGCACGTTTTCACCTCCAGCTGTAATAATCAAATCTAGGCAAAAAAGAAAGGCTATTAGTTGAATTTAAATAAATTCCAAAGATCAGGTTAATGTCTGGATTGACCCACTTTTCTTATTCTGACACAAAGAGATTTTTTTTTTTTTTCAAAGAGAACAAAGCCTATTAATTATCTTCAAAATAAAAATGCTAATATTTTTCAAATATGTGCTCAAGTTCTTAGTTCTCCCTCAGTATGACATAGTTGCTCCAGATAATTTTTATGTAATCCAGTAACAGGT